GGGTGTCTCTTCCTTCCAATCAGCTCTCAGAACTCTCCTCCCTGAGCTCTGCAGTGTGCAATTTCAGCTATCTGCCCCCTGCTTTCTGAGAGTTCAAGCAGGATTGATAAATTCAGCACTTTAAACGGGTGTAGAGAAGAAAATACTGCAGATAAACAGGTACAACTTATGTAGGAGGATTGGTTTTATCACCTGAGGCCAGTCACTCCACTGGGTATATGTAAGGGTTTACAACCACTTTAATCCTATGATGGAGGAAAAATGGACCCATGTAATACCGATGGGTGGGCGGAGGGAAAGGGACATGTCTTTACTATATCCTCTCACATCTGTTCGGGTCTATAAGTGCACCTGGACACAAACCTATTGCATTCAGTCTGACGTAAATGAATGGATGGAAACAAATGTAAGCACCAGGGGTGGACTGACAACTCATGGGGCTCCTGGGCAATAAGGGATCATGGGGCCCCTGTGTCCTTTCCCAAACTCAAAAAAAGCCTATGAAAAAGGTACCAGGGGCATCTCATGGGGCCCCCTACTGACCCCGGGCCCTCGGGCAGTGCCCGAGCTTCCAAATGGTCAGTCTGCCCTTGGTAAGCACACACATCTGCATACATCCGGCCGGCCAAAAGGATGGTTGGGAGAAGCTGAACGGCCCTGGATGTACTTAGACACACATCTGCTTACGTCCAGCTGCCCATAGGGGTACATTGTAGTCAAGTCCGAGATACCTAAATGGACCGATGTAACTGTAAGCCCATCTGCTTTCATCCCGCCGCCCATAGGGATACACTGCAGTCCAATGTCATGGACCTGGGTGCAACTGAACACACTTCTGCTTTCATCCCGCCGCCCATAGAGATACACTGCAGTCCAATGTCATGGGCCTGGGTGCAACTGAACACACATCTGCTTTCATCCCGCCGCCCATAGGGATACACTGCAGTCCAATGTCATGGGCCTGGGTGCAACTTAACATACATCTGCTTTCATCCCGCCACCCATAGGGATACACTGCAGTCCAATGTCATGGGCCTGGGTGTAACTGAACATACATCTGCTTTCATCCCGCTGCCCATAGGGATACACTGCAGTCCAGTCTCATGGGCCTGGGCAACTTAACATACATCTGCTTTCATCCCGCCACCCATAGGGATACACTGCAGTCCAATGTCATGGGCCTGGGTGTAACTGAACATACATCTGCTTTCATCCTGCCACCCATAGGGATACACTGCAGTCCAATGTCATGGGCCTGGGTGCAACTGAACACACATCTGCTTTCATCCCGCTGCCCATAATGGGGCCTGGGTGCATGAACACACATCTGCTTTCAGCCGTCCATAGGGATACACTGCAGTCCAGTCTCATGGACCTGGGTGCAACTGAACACACATCTGCTTTCATCCCGCCGTCCATAGGGATACACTGCAGTCCAGTCTCATGGACCTGGGTGTAAAAGAACGCACATCCCCTTACACCTGGCTGCCCCTCGGCATGCACTGCAGTCCAGTCTAACTTACATGAATGGACCCGATGTACTTGAATGGACCTGGATGTAAATGGATGTAACCAGATGCACATTCCCTTACGCATGGCTGCCCATAGAGATACATTGCAGTCCAGTCCAGTCCAACAAACCTGAATGGACCCAGATGTGAACGGACGCACATCCCCTTACACCTGTTTGCCCATAGAGATACATTGCAGTCCAGTCCAACAAACCTGAATGGGCCAAGATGAAAATGGACACACATCTCCTTATACCTGGCTGCCCATAGGGATACATTGCAGTCTGGTCCAAACCAACCTGAATGGACTGGATGTAAATGGGAGCACGTCCCCTTACATCCAGCTAGCCATAGGGATACACTGTTCCAATCCGACATACCTGAATAGATCAAGAAGTAAATGAACGCACATCTGCTTACATCCAGCTGTCCATAGGAATACATATTGGACGTACCTGAACAGACCCAGATACAACCAGATGCACATCCACTTACATCTGGCCACCCCATAGAGATACACTGCTGTCCAGTCCAACAAACCTGAATGGGCCAAGATGAAAATGGACCCACATCTCCTTACACCAGGCTGCCCATAGGGATACATTGCAGTCTGGTTCAACAAACCCGAATGGACCCGGATGTAAACGGGCGCACATCCCCTTACATCCTGCTGGCCATAGGGATACACTGTTCCAATCCAACTTACCTGAATGGATCCAGAAGTAAATGAACGCACATCCCCTTACCCTTGGCTGCCCATAGGGATACATTGCAGTCTGGTTCAACAAACCCGAATGGACCCGGATGTAAACGGGCGCACATTCCCTTACATCCTGCTGGCCATAGGGATACACTGTTCTAGTCCGACTTACCTGAATGGATCCAGAAGTAAATGAACGCACTTCCCCTTACATCCAGCTGCCCATAGGGATACACTGCAGCCAGGTCGGACGTACCTGAACAGACCCAGATACAACCAGATACACATCCGCTTACATCTGGCCACCCCATAGGGATAGGCTGCTATCCAGTCCAACGTACCTGAACAGACCCGGATGTAAACGGGCGCACATTCCCTTACATCCTGCTGGCCATAGGGATACACTGTTCTAGTCCAACTTACCTGAATGGATCCAGAAGTAAATGAACGCACTTCCCCTTACATCCAGCTGCCCATAGGGATACACTGCAGCCAGGTCGGACGTACCTGAACAGACCCATACAACCAGATACACATCCGCTTACAGCTGGACACCCCATAGGGATAGGCTGCTATCCAGTCCAACGTACCTGAACAGACCCGGATGTAATGGGATGCACATCCACCTAAATCCAGGTGTCCATAGGAATACACTACAGTTCAGGCCGAGGTACCTGCATGGATCTAGATCCAGGTACACATCTGATTATATCCGGATGCATTGTAGTCCATTTTTGATCCGTCCAATCATGGGTCAAAAATGGACCGATGGGGCCTTAGGATACTGAGGGCCAGCCAACCACCTAGAGCAGTGGTTCTCAACCTGTGGGTCGCGACCCCTTTGGGGGTCGAACGACCTTTTCACAGGGGTCCCCTAAGACCATCAGAAAACACATATTTCCGATGTGTAAAGAGCAGCTACTGTGTAGAAAGCAGCTACTGTGTTGAAAGCAGCTACTCTGTTAAAAGCAGCTACTGTGTTGAAAGCAGCAATATTGGAGGTAAAACGACACTCATGAATTATAATTACTGGGTAAATAATTTTATGGTTGGGGGTCACCACAACATGAGGAACTGTATTAAAGGGTCGCGGCATTAGGAAGGTTGAGAACCACTGACCCAGAGAGAGGAGAGAGCTGGATGCCAGGTAAGCGAGCACCAAGGTAAGAAAAAGTGTTTTTTTAATGGTACCCTAGATGAGTATTTATCCCTTGGTGTGCGGGGGGGGGGGGGGAGGGGAGGAGCCCCACTGTGGGAAGGGGGGGGGGGGAGCCACCACTCTGCACAGGTAGTTATTAATTTCTCCTATGTATCGGTTTTATCCAACTAACTGCAAAAATGAAACCATTTGTCAAGAACAACCTTCTGAGTCTATCATCTTCACATCTACTCTTCTTAGGTATTAATGATGTACGAGATATTATAATTATATTTCATTCTATTTATACTCCCATTGTCATAATTCCCCCTCCCCGCAGTTGTAGGCATGCCACTTATGACCGCGGTGTGTGTGTGCGAAGCGTGTGCTGATTCAGAGAGTGACGCTTTGCATCCATTCTCCTCCACCCCCACTCCTTCCTGTGACTCATCCCACGTCAAATAATGGAGCTGCCCTTTACATTGGCTTCTCTTCTGCTCGGCATTACTTCTGTGTGGGAGATCACAAACATTGCTGTAATTATCCCCCATCCTATACCCAGGTGATGTCTGCTCCACCTTACCTCAATTACCGACTCTAACTCAATGGATGGCGCTCTGTATTACCGACCATACAATCCCGACAGGTCAGCCCTGGGCAGAGGGCAGCACAGAGGTTCATTGCAAATTGTGGATTAAAGTTTATCTTAAATCCAAATAATATATTACAGCTTCTCAGTCCTTAGTGGTGGCTGCATTATTTCAGGCTTTTTTCCATTATTTTCATCTGCTTAGTAACACATTTCCTGCCTAGGGTGACAACATCACTCACTGTATTGTATGAGGAGAAGCAGTGTTGTCACCCTAGAAGAGGACTCTCTTCTTCTCCTCCTCATCTCTTTGAGCAACATAGCATAACTTCCAATCTTCTGAGATGGGGAAGAGGAACACCTATTAGCAAAAAGTATGCAGGCAAAGGACATTCCCTGTTACACAAAAGATGATTAGTTAAAGGATAATTTTTTACCATGCAACCTTCTTCTTTGCTTGCATTGGGAGCCGGCTGTCCTATCATTCTTTTATGATCACCAGTGTAAGGGACATATGAGGGACATGAGTGGTTTTCCTACTGACCACTAATAAGGGGCATTCTTCCTACTGGCCATCAATATAAAGAATATTTTTCCAACTGATCTCCACTGTGAGGGCCATTCTTGCTATTGATCAATAATTTAATGAACATTCTTCCAATGTAAGAGGCATTCTTCCTATTGACCACCAATGTGAGGGGCATTTTTCCCATTGGCAACCAATGTAAGGGGCATTCTTCTCATTGATCACCAGTGTAAGGGGCGTTCTTTCTGCTGACCACCAATATCAGGGGCATTCTTCTCACTGACAACCAATGTAAGGGACATTCTTTACCAAAGACCACCGATGTAAGGGGCATTCTTCCCATTGCAAACCAATGTAAGGGGCATTCTTCCTGCTGATAACCAATGTAAGGGGCATTTTTCCCTTGACCACCAATGTACTGGGCATTTTCTCCCCCTGAACACCAATGTAAGGGGCATTTTTCCCACTGACAACCAATGTAAAGGTGCATTCTTCCCAACTGACAACCAATGTAAGGGGCTTTCTTACAGCTCACCACCAATATAAGGGGCATACTTCCCATTGACCACCAATGTAAAGAGCATTCTTCCCATTGACCACCAATGTAAGGGACATTCTTCCCAATTGACCACCAATGTAAGGGACATTCTTCCCAATTGACAGCCAATGTAAGGGGCATTCCTCCCACTGACAACCAATGTAAGGTGCATTCTTTCCAACTGACAACCAATGTAAGGGACATTCTTCCTGCTTACCACCAATATAAGGAGCATTCTTCCCATTGACCACCAATGTATAGAGCATTCTTCCCACTGACAACCAATGTAAGGGGCATTCTTCCCACTGATCACCAATGTAAGGAGCATTCTTCCCACTGACAACCAATGTAAGGGGCATTCTTCCCAATTGACAACCAATATAATGGGTATTCTTCCCATAGACCACCAGTGTAAGGGACATTTTTCCTGCTGACCAACAATGTAAGGGGCATTCTTCCCATTGACAACTAATGTAAAGAACATTCTTCCTACTGACCACCAATGTAAGGAACATTCTTCCCAGTGACCACCAATGTAAGGGCAATTCATCCCAATGACCACCAGTGGTAGGGTCACCTTTCCCAATGACCCCTAATGAATTGTTTTTAGAAGGAATTACCATAGACCTGAAAATGATTTAAAAGTTTTTTCTGTGGTAAAAACATTGAGAAAGGCTGTCTTAGACGAGATGAACCACAGTCCAATGTCAGTAGAAGTCATTCGGTCTACCTTAATTCAGCCAGGCAACCATCTGTCTATTGCTGAACAAAGATCAATCCCACGTCATGCCACTAAACACCTTCAGAATGGTTGCTGTTTATACGTGGGAGCACCAACAAGCGGAAAATCTATTTCCAATAATCTGATTACTTTGCGCTGCTGAAAGCTGTCCTGTGATTGGTCGGTATACACTGTTCATTGTTATTTGTACGATGTTATTAAATCAAGTCTATTAGGATTATTTGTTCAATGGTAGGTTTAGAGATTCTGTAGAAGACTGCAGAAACAGGGGTCATGTGGATGAGGCTAAATGAGTTGTATTTGTGAAAATCACTGAAGTATCTGTGTGACATTTGGAGTCAATGGGAAGGCAGCCTTTAAGTGTCCGCCTTCTGTACTCCCGCTGCATATATCCTGTCGCTGTTCATCTCACGTTCGTCTGAGAGCCCCAACCGACGTCAGCAAACACAATCATCGGCGACGTCAAGTGTAGATGGGAATATTCTGACATATGAAGAGGCTCTGGTATTACAGCCTTGTATTCTCCAAGGGTTTCTAGGCAGAGAATCTCATAAGCCCCCACCTTCCCTCGCTTGTCAGATTTTGTTTCAACATGTCAAAGCTCTGCTTATGATAATCAACTGTGTCCTTCTGTCGGTATATTCTGGGTACATGTAATTACTAAATAATCATATTTTATAATAGTGGACGCTTGGGTAATATTGCAGTTATTATTGGGGGAGATGGCTTTTTTTTTTTTGCTTTGCATATATGGAATCTCTACAAGGAAGATGAAAAGTGATGAGAGGAAGGGAGCATAGAGGGTGATGGGGAGAGGTGCTGAGTGTGGAGGGTGAGTGTAAAGAAGATGGTAGTGGAGAAGATAAGTGGACAGAGGAGAGGAGTGGAAAGGTTGTATGTGATTAGAAGAGAGAACAAGGTGAGAGTATGGTGTGATTGGAAGGGGGTAGGAGGTAAGAGTTAATTGTGATTAAAAGGGGCCAAAGGTCAGGGAGCAGTGTGATTGGAAGGGGCAAGAGGTGATGGTTGAATGTGATTGGAAGGGGGGCAGGTGGTGAGGGTACAGTGTGATTGGAAGGGGCAGGAGATGAAGATGATGTGTGATTGGAAGGGGCAGAAGGTTAGGGAACTGTGTAGTTGGAATAGGGGGGGGGGGGGGGGAGTGAGGGTAGCGTGTGACTGAACAGGGCAGAAGATCAGGAGCTGCATGATTGGAAGGGGCAGAAGGGGATGGTAGATTATGATTGGAAGGATCAGGTGGTGATGGAAGAGTGTGATTGGAAGGAACAGGTGGTGATGGTAGTGTATGATTGGAAGGAACAAGTGGTGATGATATAATGTGATTGGAAGGAACAGGTGGTGATGGTAGAGTATGTTTGAAAGGGTCAGGAGGTGATGGTGGAGTGTGATTGGAAGGGTCAAGTGGTAATGGTAGAGTATGATTGGAAGGAACACATGGTGATGGTAGAATGTGATTGGGAGGAGCAGGAGGTGATGGTAGTATATGATTGGAAGGGGCAGGTGGTGATGGTGGAATGTGATTGGAAGGGTCAAGTGGTGATGTTAGAAGTGTGATTAGAAGGAACAAGTGGTGATGGTAGAATGTGATTGGAAGCGGCAGGTGGTGATGGTAGAGCATGATTGGAAGTGGTGAGTGTTGATGGTAGAATGTGATTGGAAGGGGCACGTGGTGATGGAAGGGGCAGGTGCTGCTGATAGAATATGATTGGAAGGGTCAGGAGGTGATGATAGCGTTTGATTGGAAAGGTCAGGTGGCGATGGTAGAGTAGGGTTGAATGGAATAGGTGGTGATAGTAGAGTGTGATTGGGAAAGTTGGGTGGTGATGGTAGAGTATGATTGGAAGGAACAGGTGGTGATGGTAGAGTAGGATTGGAAGGGTCAGGTAGTGATGGCAGAGTATGATTTGAAGGGGCAGGTGTTGCTGGTAGAATGTGGTTAGAAGAGGCAGGAGGGTAGAATGTGATTGGTAGAATGTGATTGGAAGGGGCACGTGGTGATGGAAGGGGCAGGTGGGTGATGATAGAATATGATTGAAGGGAGCAGGTGGTGATGGTAGAGTATGATAGGAAGGTTGGAAGGGTCAGGAGGTGATGATAGCGTTTGATTGGAAAGGTCAGGTGGTGATGGTAGAGTAGGGTTGAAAGGAATAGGTGATGATAGTAGAGTGCGATTGGGAAAGTTGGGTGGTGATGGTAGAGTATGATTGGAAGGAACAGGTGGTGATGGTAGAGTAGGATTGGAAGGGTCAGGTAGTGATGACAGAGTATGATTTGAAGGGGCAGGTGTTGCTGGTAGAATGTGGTTAGAAGAGGCAGGAGGTGGTGGTAGAATGTGATTGGAAGGGGCACGTGGTGATGGAAGGGGCAGGTGGTGATGATAGAATATGATTGAAGGGAGCAGGTGGTGATGGTAGAGTATGATTGGAAGTGGTAGGAGGTGATGATAGAGTGTGATTGGAAGGGGTAGGTGGTGATGGTGCAGTGAAAGGGAAAGAAATGAGAGTAGAGTGTGTTTGGAAGGGGGTAGGAGTACATTGTGATTGGAAAGGACAAAAGGTTAGGGAACTGTGAGATTGGACAGGGCAGGAGGTAATGATAGGGTGTGATTGGAAGAAGACTGATGAGCGTGGATTGTGATTGGAAAAGACAGGAGGTGAGGGAAAAGCGTTATTGGAAAGTAAGAGTAATTGGAAGGGCAGAAGGTGAGGGTATAGTGTGTTTGTAAATGGTGATTAGAAGGGGGCAGGAGATGAGAAATTGGAGAAGGCAGGAGATGATGTTAGGGTGATCTGGCTGTGACATCTGCCACTCCATTGATCATTTGGGTTGATCCAGCTGATCTGGCTGGCTAGGCGCGTGTCCCCTTCCTCCCTCACTGCTCTATGTAGTACGTCCTTCCCAAAGCTCTGCACTCTGTCGAAGAGGATGGCCATCCCCGTTAGATGAAGCACCAATATTTGGTCATGGGTATACCTGTAGCTGCGTCCTGCTAAAAATTCCAAGGTGTGTCATTGGAAGGGGCAGGAGGTAATGGTAGAGTGTGCTAGACAGGAGCAGGAGCAGAGATAGAGTGTGATTGGAAGGGTTTTAGGAGGTGATGGGAGGATGATGATGACTGGAAGAGAGTGAGAGTTGGAATATGATTGGAAGTGGGCAGGGGGTGAGGTAGGGTATGATTGGGAGAAAGAGGGTGTCGAGTTAGGGTGTCAATGGAAAGATCCATGAATTTTAGTACAAGAAGAACATAGTGTAAGAAAAAGGCACATGAGGTACATGAGAAATTAGAATTTGGTGAGGAATGGGTGATGAAATTAAAGAAAAAATGAGAATAGCATGAGTGATATGTATTGAAAGAATAGCAAGGGTTATCTATGTATAGCATTGGTAACGAGTAATACATACTGTAAGGACATAATATTAAAGATGATCATGTTATAGACTAAATAAATATTGAAGAACATGTAGGCATGTTATGTGCAATAGCATGAGTGATGTGTAAGGAACAAAGGGTTAATAGCAATGGTGATCTGTAGAGTACATATAACACCGGTGAAGAAGAATGCATACTGTAAAGAACATAATGTTGGTGGTTATTGGGGTTTTCATACAGTACCACAACTATTCTCAACCATGGATCTGTGGAACCCAAGGGTTCCTTCTGAGGTTACTAGGGGTTCCATGAATTGTTACTAATTGACCTGCCATTCCTGCATAGATCCAGGGTCAGCGTCACATGGCAGAGCCAGCTGCGTGACACCAATAATCTTTTTAGCTATCCAGAAAGAGTGTATTCTGACCACCACTGTAAGGAGCATGCTTCCCACTGACAACCCATGTAAGGGACATTCTTCCACTGAACTCCAAAGTATGGGGCATGCTTCCAACTGACCACTAATGTAAGGGATATTTTTTCCACTGCTCATCATTGTAAGGGTCATTTTTCCCAGTGAACCCTAATAATTTGTTTTTTAGAGCTTTCCTGTCAGGAATGGACTTGCCAATAATGGTGGGACTCACCTGCCTTGTGGGCTGCAGTACCAGGGCTGGCCAGCAGGTGCTCTCAGCAATCAGAGACTCACCCCTGCAGTCAGCCAAACACCTGAAGCTGATTGCGGGGGTTGTATTTAAGGAATGGCCAGACTCACAGTCAGGGCCGTGGTGTGTGTTTTTCCATGGGCCCCTGTATCCTGTATTCCTGTTCCTGTCTGACTTGTTGCCGACCCTGCCTGATCCTGACCTCTGCTGACTTCTCCTGTTTGATCCCTGGCTTGTGACCCTGACCATTCTCTGCCTGACCCTCTGCACCGCGCTGCCCGTGAGTTACTGAACCCAGCTTGTGACCCCGACCACTCTCCCGCCTGTTCCTGGTACTCCATTTGCTACTGACCCGGCCTGCCTGACAACTCTTGCATTGTATGTATTGTTATCTGTGGGTGGTTTGGTTTGTTTGCACTGTGTTTAGGTTTAGTTTTGCACTGCGTTTTGTATTGTTAGTCTTAATAAATTATATTGTTTATAACATATCTGAAGCCTGCGCGTTTCCCTGTGTCAGTCCACACACCTCTGGTCATACCCTGATTCCTGACATTTCCCAAGACCTGAAAATTATTTCAAGGGCCACAATATTAAGATCTAGGCCCATGTATTACTGGAAAAAATTATCTCTGGGACAATTTATAGAAATACTAAAGGTTCTCTCACATTCTCCTAAGGCGTCTATGCTCTCCTGGCCAAATCACTGAGATATCAGCCAGATTGGGCAAGCGAAGGAGTGTTGGGTAAAGTGGGAGTTGCACATCGCTGATTCTGCCATTGGGGAGATGTTGGCAGCATCAGACTTGACAATATGACAAGGCCCTTTTATACAGTAGAGATTTGCATATAACTGCAGCTGTTTATATCTCTGGATCTGCTGATTATTATCTTCTGATCTGTTGATTATTTATTATGTGGTTTTGGCTGAAAGCAACCTCTGTTTATGCATTTCGTCATGCTACGCTCAGTTTGAATTGCCATGAATTGTGCGTCAGTTGTTCCCAATTATAAAAGCCATTAATTCCTTCCTTTATTGATTCTTCAGGCTGCTTGTTTGATCTGAGGCTGTGTTCCAAGGAGGAGGTTTGTGTACAAGGTGAGTCTTCATACTTGTGTATTCATATCACATACAGGCCAACAGGGTCTTCTAGTTTGATCCTTTTCCTAATAAAGCAGAACGGCCAGCCAGTCATTGTGAAGTCATAAATACAACACATACATTATGGCTTATGTGAATTTTACCCCTTGGCAGAAGAGCTAACAATCAGTTTTCAGCCTTCAAATATCCAGTGAAGTCATATATACATCATATACATTATGGCTTATTTGAATTTTACTCTTTGGCGGAAGAGCTAAACAATCAGATTTCAGCCTTCAGATATCCAGTGAAGTCATATATACATCATATACATTATGGCTTATCTGAATTTTATTATTTGGCAGAAGAGCTAACAATCAGATTTCACCCTGCTACAGGATTTTTAATCGAGATTACAGGTCCTGTTTTTTATCTTCTCTTTCATGTATTTTATAAGCTGTGAAGGTGGAGCATGGCCAGAGAGAGAATAAAAATATTCTTCCCAAATATATTGCCATATATTTGAAATGCTACAATTGTCCGTATTCAATATATTTAAAAAAAAAAAAAAAAAACAATATATATATATATATATATATATATATATATATATATACACATACATATATATATACACTGCATGTTAAAATGCTGAAATACGTTTTTATTACAAAATATATGAAAAATATTTTTAAAAATACATTTCAAATATACTGTATGTCTTTAAAAATACAAATCTCCATTTTTGGAATGCATTTACAAATATATTTAAAAATATACGTTAAAATTACTTTTTTATATGTTAGAAAAAAAATCTGAAGAATATATTTAAAACATATATATTTTTTTTAAAAATATGTATTTTTTAAATATATTCTTCAGATTTTTTTAACATATAAAAAAGTCATTTTAACATATATTTTTACATATATTTGTAAATGCATTCCAAAAATGGAGATTTGCATTTTTAAAGACATACAGTATATTTGAAATGTATTTTTAAAAATATTTTTCATATATATTGTAATAAAAACGCATTTCAGCATTTCAACATGCAGTATATATATATATTTAAATGTATTTTGAAATATATTGAATACGGACAAAATTGTAGCATTTCAAATATAGGCAATATATTTGGGAAGAATATTTTTAAAATATGTTTCAAATATATTTTTTTATTCCATGTGGGTAAACTTCCAGAGCTTTGATTCTGCTTGCTGTGGTCTCAGCTTCTCCAAGAGCAAAGTCACTGGAACTGCTATGCCTGCCCCTCCCCTCCTTCTGCCCAGTCACAGAAGCCTTTGTATTATTTGAACTCATTTACAAAATACAAAGGCTTCTGTGAATAGGCAGAAGAGGGGATGGATGAGCATAGCTGCTCTGTGTGCCTCTCTCCTCACATGGCAATAAACCTGTCATGTAGTATAAATGATAGGTCCCAGAGGTGACATGCCTCTAACTGGACTTAACTCCTGGAGTTCAGCTTTAATGATGCTGGGTGTTAACTGAGGACATCATGTGACAAAAAAAGAAATATTGCAGAGGGGGCAGTTTTGGATTGAAGGTGATTATTGCTTCCTTGCCTGTAGGATTGAGGTCTATTTTAATTAAAAAAAAATTCCTGAGTTGGGCTTTTGAGTGTATGTAAAGCCACAACTTTCTCCACTTTAACCAAAACTAAAGCAAAGAGTTTTTCTATACATTGCCCACAGTACTCACAACATGGAAATGCAAATATTTTAGTAAATATAAACTGATAAATTCCTTTTCTCATCAGCAGTGTATAGCAGTCCTGTGACTTCTATCAGTGTCCAGCAGCGCACTGGTTAAAGCTTGTTGAAGGAGTTTTCATTTTCCTCTCAATGTCCTATGAGACTGCGGCCTCCCCTGACCTCTGGACATCGATGATTGGCCCTATGCTGATCACATGCACCCTTCCAACAAAAAAAAAAAAGACCTCTCTAGCAATACACACCAAACTGAGCATGTGTAGCCTGCCCCCAAGGCTCTGTTCTATCAGGAGATGAGCCAGGAACAGTAGAAGAAGGGGGAGGATCAGAGAAGACAGGATCAAACAGCCTTTTTACACAATGCAGAGGATTAACCCCTTAGGTTCCACAATGAGTATAACAAGCAAAAAAAAAGACCTCTCTAGCAATACACACCAAACTGAGCATGTGTAGCTTGCCCCCAAGGCTCTGTTCTATCAGGAGATGAGCCAGGAACAGTAGTAGAAGGGGAGGATCAGAGAAGACAGGATCAAACAGCCTTTTTACACAATGCAGAGGATTAACCCCTTAGGTTCCACAATGAGTATAACAAGCAAAAAAAAGACCTCTTTAGCAATACACACCAAACTGAGCATGTGTAGCTTGCCCCCTAGGCTCTGTTCTATCAGGAGATGAGCCAGGAACAGTAGTAGAAGGGGAGGATCAGAGAAGACAGGATCAAACAGCCTTTTTACACAATGCAGAGGATTAACCCCTTAGGTTCCACAATGAGTATAGCAAGCAAAAAAAATACCTCTTTAGCAATACACACCAAAACTGAGCATGTGTAGCTTGCCCCCTAGGCTCTGTTCTATCAGGAGATGAGCCAGGAACAGTAGAAGAAGGGGAGGATCAGAGAAGACAGGATCAAACAGCCTTTTTACACAATGCAGAGGATTAACCCCTTAGGTTCCACAATGAGTATAACAAGCATGCTTTACTGCGTATACAGACTGATTGTACTGTTGTGGGTTTAGTAACACTTTAACACTCAGTCTGTCATATGTTCTTTTTCAGATGGATTATTCGGCCAGTGTCGAGATCGATCGGAAAGGGACGTGGGACAGTTTCAGGTGACTCCTAGAACTCTGCAACAGTTGCAAGGCGTTCTACGTCGACTGTCAGCAAAAGGTAATCAGTAACTGAAATAATCAGCTGTGACGTTCCGCTCCATTATTTCTGAGGACTCACAAAAAGATGACAGCCTTTTCTCACGATTTAAGCAACCGGCTCCGCTGTGATTAATTGAACGCCGAATCTCTGTGTCATTTGCATTTTCTAGAGTGACTTGATGCATCTTTTCTTTTGATTTTCCCATTTTTTATTTTGGAAAGAATGATTTCACCAGGCCACACAATTAACTTCTAACCGACATTTCTACATTACTCACCATCAGCAGAGCAAAGAATGCAAAAGGAAAGAAAGAATATGCAAAGTAGATTGGCTGTACAATTAAAGTTTGTTTTTTTTTTTCTTTTTGCCCGTGGCCACAGGGTTGTCGTGGAAGGATGATGTGACGCAGCGAGTAATGGCTCATGAAATAGGTCGCATTCCGCAGCACAAAGCTCTGGAGCCCTTCGATCTTCTGGATGAGGAGAGGTATATTTTTAGGCTCATGTACACTGCAGCTGATAAACTGACGTTTCGGAGCTTTTTCTGCGTTTTTTTTTTCAGCAGCCCCCTGAACTCTCCCTAATGTTCTCCTGTGTGTCCGTGTACACATCGTCGTTTACAGGCAGTTGAGTTTACAGTCGTTTTTTTTTTTTAACGCACCAAACTTGCGTTCAGGAGTAGATTTTATCAGCATTTCAAACGCTTGTAAACGTGGCTAACCGCGTTTATAAGTGTTTGCATTTGGAAATTTTTTTTTAACTCTTCCATTTCCAGAGACTTTTTTCATTATGAAAAATGCATGCAAAGCATTTTTGCGGTATTCAAATGGACCCGGTACACCATACTTTAAGGTTTCGCATGAAAGTAAATATGTTAGACACTGCTGCAATCATTTCTGCACAGAAAGGAGCCGGAACACATCCAAACACCACAAAAAAAAAAAAAGACAGCTAGGGGTTTATTTACTAAAGCTGGAGAGTCCAAAATCAGACTCCCTTCTGCATAGAAACCAATCAGCTTTCCAGGTTTCATTGCCAAAGCTTCATTGAACAAGCTGAGGTTAGAAGCTGATTGGTTTCTATGCAGAAGGGAGTCTGATTTTGGACTCTCCAGCTTTAGTAAATAAACCCCCTAATGTCAACAAATACTGCTCTCTCTGCTTCTGCTCTCTCTATTTCTCTCAAAATGTCTGAAATAGTTAATTAGAATGTTGTTTAGAAAAGCGCCACACCCTTAATTAATACAGCAGCAACTCCAACCCAAAAATGTTGTATCATCTTGGTCAAAATTAATTCAACTATAGGAATGCGCTCAAGACACAAAAACTCTAAAAAAAACTGTGCATACATCAATATAAAATCGAACAAAACATTTAAAAAAAATGATATAATGAATAAATCAAGTGTTCAAATTAATATGTAAAAGTCCAAAGTCCCAAAATTTTTTTGCTGTATTCAAATGGACCCGGTACACCATACTTTGAGGTTTCGCATGAAAGTAAATATGTTAGACACTGCCACAATAATTTCTGCACAGAAAGGAGCCGGAACATATCCAAACACCACAAAAAAAAAAAGACAGCTAATGTCAACAAATACTGCTCTCTCTGCTTCTGCTCTCTCTATTTCTCTCAAAATGTCTGAAATAGTTAATTAGAATGTTGTTTAGAAAAGCGCCACACCCTTAATAATACAGCAGCAACTCCAACCCAAAAATGTTATATCATCTTGGTCAAAATGAATTCAACTATAGGAATGCGCTCAAGACACAAAAAACTCTAAAAAAACTGTGCATACATCAATATAAAATCGAACAAAACATTTCAAAAAAATTATATAATGAATAAATCAAGTGTTCAAATTAATATGTAAAAGTCCAAAGTCCCAAAAAAGTTTTTAAATTTGAAATCACCAAGTGCAATCCACCACCAAAAGATACGATTGGATGATTCACCAGAGCTATATGCTGATCAATTCACAGACCAGCAACCACGCTATTGCTCTGGGAGCGATGAGTCTTCAAAAATCCAAATATAAGGTGCAATGTTCTGCAATATTGACTTTTTTTTAGGATGAAAGTAACCACCACTTTATATTATAAATTGGTTCCAGATAATCCTGAAATAGCTCTCCACACCTCTCTCACCTAGATCGCTATACGATTCTCCATAGACATTCGGAAAAAGGCAAAAAAGAAGGAATAATAGTGCAGCGAGTTTTTAAAACCAGAATAAAGTTTAATTTGAAAACGCACTTACAAACAGGGTGTGGCCAACTGAATGCAGACGTTTGTGACATTTCTTCTGTGTCTGTCGGAGATGATCCGCGATGAGCGGTACAAGTGATACCATATCTATGCGTGTGATGCTGGTGTCGGCTAAGACACCCTGTTTGTAAGTGCGTTTTCAAATTAAACTGTGTTCTGGTTTTAAAAACTCGCTGCACTATTATTCCTTCTTTTTGAAAAATGTTTTGTTCGATTTTATTTTGATGTATGCACAGTTTTTTTTTAGAGTTTTTGTGTCGTGAGCACATTCCTATAGTTGAATTCATTGAAATAGTTAATTGTTTACTGTTTTTTTTTTCAGTGCATTCTGGGCATTTTGGAAGGTCTCCTGAGGTTATCTTTAAAGAAACGCTTCTAAAATGCTCATAAATGCGCATAAACGTGTTATGCAAACGCAAACAGATGTTTTTTTTAACCTACATTTTCCAGCGGTCAGTTTCCATCGTTCAGAAGTGTCCCGTGTTCATGGAGCCTTATATTAAAGGTCCATTCAGGATTGAAAATTAATTACAATGCATAGGACCAACCCAGTTTTTGTTATTCTTCCAGATATCCAGACAATTTTTTTTACTGGACATGTTTAATAGCAAAAAGTCAAAAATATAGTTTTTTTTTCTCAAAATTGTTGGTCATTTTTCTCTTATAGTGCAAAAAATAAAAAAAAAACGCACAGGTGATCAAATACCACCGAAAAGAAAACTCAATTTGTGGGAAAAAAAAGACGCAAATTTCATTTGGGTGCAGTGTTGCATGACTGCGCAATTGTTAGTTAAAGTAAAGCAGAGCTGGAACACAAAAAATGGCCTGGTGAGGAAGGGGAGAAAATCCTCGGGAGAGCAAGTGGTTAATCATACCCTTGTAATAACAAAAAAATCAATAAACTAAAAAATTTTCAAAACCATACAAATATTACAAATTTCTACACAGTGGTATCCCCAGTTAATACATAGACAAAACATGTCCGCACTATCACAGTCCATTGGATCTTGATTGTTGGTTGGTTAGCTTGGGGTATCCAACGCATTTCAAAGCTTTTTTCAATTAGCTCCTTCCTCAGGGAAATCATACCACTCTGCAATATAAAGGTTCTTATAACAATCAACTACATCCACATTGCAGTGAATACTATTTACAAAAACAAATTGTTTTCAAATATATTATAATATAAAAAGGATTTCTCTTACTTTTATCATAATCTGTTAGATGTGGAAGCCATCTTCTACTGTATAGCCAAGGTGTGACAGTTGATTACTGCAATCATCCCTGATGAATTTACACAAGGACCACTTGAACCTCAGTGCCCACTGTTGTAAAAAGAAGGGGATGATACAAATACATCTGATTTTAAGTGAAATGATTCTATATCTCTCTGGTTTTGGACAGGTTAAATATTTTTTAAGGCAAAACAGATAAACTCTCCTAGTTTATATTCATGCTCTTGAAAGTAGGAAGGAGAAACATCTCCTATATCCTGTCAAAAATTAACTGGTAAAAAAACAATCCAAAATTGCATTGTCCTCAAACAGAGGCTATATATCTCCTAGATTGTAAGCTCGAAAGAGCAGGGCCCTCGATCCCCTCATGTTTTGCATTGTATTGGTATTGTTTTCTGTCACATGTTCTGTCCCCCTTTGTAATGTACAGCGCTGAGGAACTATTGGCGCTTTATAAATACTGTATAATAATAATAATAATATATTCAAGTATCAATTAATATTACAAAATAATCTCCCTTTATTTAATCAAACATAACAAAAATGTAAAAGATAACTAAACTTACAATTAGCCATCCATAGTTTTAATTCAAGAATCTCCAAGCCACTTGCATGAGCTGTCTTCACCTTGGATATATGTCCAACAAGTGAGTACAAAAGGACATTTCTTATATAGGGCAAGCTCAGTGGGGGGGGGGGGGGCAAATATCCTCTCATGAAGATCAGCTGCAAGTTCTTCCATGTGGGTCTCTCATATGGGAGGAAAATGGCGCCCAGTCCAGTCCTCTGGCGTTCATCTCATACTGGGGTTTCAGGAGGGCCAGGAGTGGCATCAAGAGATGTGCCACCGACACAAGAGAACCGCAATTCAGCTTAAATCCAGCAGGTACGAGGGGAGGACAAGCTGAAGAGCTGCCCAAACCTCCAAATGCAGCAATTACCTCCCCTCACAGTTAGGGGAGGCCTATTGTGCCGGGTGTGTAGGGCTATGGCAGTATTACCACCTCACCTCGGTCTGAAAACAAGAAAGGACTACATCATTATCTCAGAGGACTTGTAGGAATTTATTTGAAAAAAGGCACCCAAAGGTACCTACGTTCTATGCACTTCCAAAGGTTCACAAGGACTTGGCTGATCCCCCAAGGAGGCCCATTATCTCTGGGAATGGGTCTGTCTCCGAGGGAATAAGCCAAGTCATTGATGCACATTTGAGACTTTGTGATCAGTTTGGCCTCTTATGTTAAAGATACAATACATCTACTACAAATTACTGATAATTTAGACATTTCCAAAAGAGCATTTTTGTTGACTGTGGATGTGGAATCACTATACAATAGTATTCCACACATAAAGGGAATTGAGACTGTATGATTCATTTTACAACAACGTAGTACTCAAGATTGGAAATTTAATTCATTTTACAGATGTTAGACTTTATTTTACATCATAACGTCTTTCTTTTTCATGGCTCCCACTACCTCCAGGTACAGGGTGTAGCAATGGGGACTTGTAATGCCCCATCCTATGCCAATCTATACCTGGGGGTTTGGGAGCAGACCTTTTTGCTGGACGTGGCTTTCTCGATGTATACAATCCATATAGTGATATGGTAGAGATACATCGATGACATACTATTTTTTTGGGATGGACTGGAAAGTTTGTTAAAACAATTATGGATGCAATGAATTGGAATAATGCAAACCTCTTTTTTTACCATGACATTTGATTGTCACAAGATCAATTTTTTTGCCTGTAACCATAATGAAAGGACAAAAAGGACGGTTGAGTAGTACTTTGTATAGAAAGGAGACTGCCAGCAATACAATCTTACATGCTGACAGTTTCCATCCTGAACCATTAAAAAGATCTATACTGTTCAGTCAATTTTTAAGAATCAAACGCAATTGTACAAGCTATGAGGGCTTCCAAATGGAAGCTGATAAGCTTACAGAAAGATTACTAACAAAATCTTCTTTGAAAGAGGCATTCAGTTGGGTCAAAAAGCCTAAACAGAATCTTTTATTTAAATAAAAAAACACTAAGGCTCCAGCAAGGGAATAAGAATAATAATAATAATAATGAAATTATTCTAATGAACACAAGAAAATCAGGAAAATCCTGGAGAGGCATTGGCCTATTCTATGTGAAGACCCCCTATTGGGCAAATTAGCAGGGTCAATGAAGCAATGTTTGGTGCATAGTGAATACAGCATAAAGGAGAAAGAATAGATCCTTGTAAACAGGTGGGCACTTTTTCGTGAGGTGATTGTGCATATTGCCCCTTTGTCAGTAACTACAAACAAATGATTCTTCCAAACAGTGAAAAATTCATTTCAAAACATTTTTCTAACTGTAAAACCAAAGATTATACAATGCGGATCCTTTTATGTAGGGAAAACATGTCAGGAAATTTGGAGATGCATGTATAAACATCTCCATAGCATGCAAATTGGGAATTTCTACTTACCTCTAGGCAAATATGTGGCCGCAATCCACAAATATAAAATGCCAAAAGTAGTTTTTTTTTTTGCAGTTTTGGATAGAGTTCACATCCCGATAAGAGGTGGGGATTGGAATAAGGTGCTGCTTCAGCGAGAGATGCGCTGGATCAGGCACCTAAACGCTACGATTCCACCAGGCTTAAATGAATCAGAAAGATTTAGACCCTTTTTAGCAGGCTTCAGCTCAGGGAAAACAGATTGAACAATGACCATTTTTGGAGGTATTATTTGATTAATATCTTGTGTCTATCTCAATTTTTGATTTTGGTACACATTTCCTCAATTTATTTTACCCCTTTCTTTCTTTTGTTTTTCTCACTACTTTTCTTCTTGGTGGCAAAAAGAAACCCCCTCTGAGTAAATGATTTTTAGAATAGATAGATTTGTTTTCAATGCTTGGATTCTAATATTTTTTGTACTTGTACTTGAGTGGTATGATTTCCCTGAGGAAGGAGCTAATGAAAAAAGATTTGAAAAGCGTTGGATACCCCAAGCTTATCAACCAACAATCAAGAACCAACAGACTGTGATAGTGTGGACATGTTTTGTACATGTATTAGCTGGGGATACCACCGTGTAGAGATTTTTAATATTTGTATGGTTTTGAAAATCAATCTTGTAACAAGGATGCATAAAAAATACTATATTCCTATGGAAAATATGGATATGTGAAGCTATGTACACAAAACTTTTTTTTTTACAGTTTATTTTTTGTTATTACAAGGGTATGATTAATAAAAGAATGATTTTTATAAAAATATACATAGTTTGTTTCATGGTTTCCTTTTAAATCCAGTGAAAGGGATGTTGTCAACCACATCCACAATCACAAAAAACTCAAATTTTTGAACTCTTGTTGCATACTTGCCTATTCAAGTTCAGTTTCAGAGCCTAGACAACAAGATGACGTTATGTCATCCCCTGCATGTTAAAAATAGCTGCATAGGCCCAATCATTATCACACAGAGGAATTCATATGCTCCCCCATACCTGGAATCCTGTTTCTCTTAGTGAGGGTTCCTGCAGTGCAGGGAGGTAACAAAAGGAGTGTGTAAGAATACATGCCTGGAGGGGTGGGATATTTGCAGACAGTCTCATTTAAAATCCTAAAATCCCTGTTTTTTAGATCCCCATTGGCTCATTCAACAGGGCGGACAATTCAGCGTCTTACAGGTCCCTTGTCAGCTCAAAGATGGACCAACCAAGTGGATCCCTTACCATTTTTGAGATCAAAGGTGACATCATCAGACTCCTCATCAGGACCACAAAGACTTCCCATGAGCTTCAAGCAGAACCTGTCTCCTCTGCTGGATCGATACTTGACCTACTTTCTGCTCACCTCTCAGCCACCCAGTTCACAGGTACGTTATAAGCAGGGAAATATCAACCAAAGCCCTCTGGTTCACCTGGAAGCAGCAATACTAACATACGTATGAGGGATGGCTAGTTGGAGACCTGTAGTTCCCCTTTTCTAGTTTCATCTTAGGTTAAATAGGGTTTTATATTTCAGTTTGTTTATTAGATTTTCCACAAATATAAAAAAAGACAACATTATATGATGCTTAAGGCTAGGTTCACACCTATGCAGTCTGCGTTTGATCTATTTCTGCATTGCGTTTCGCGTTTGTGCCACGTTTTTTTTTATGCGTTTTGTGTTTTTTTTTTTTAAATTTTTCTTGTTGCTAGGCAGATTTAAAAAAGCATCAAAATCGCATCAATAACGCTGCAAAAACACAACAAAAATGTACTACCTGCTTTTCTGCAGCGTTTCCATTGAAGTCAATAGAACCAAACAGGCTACTTTTTGCGTTCAAAACAGTCCCTGACCCTCTCCAAAAAAACGCACCGGGTAAAAATTCTGACATGTGAACGTGTCTCATAGGAAATCATGTTAAATGGACTGTAGTGCGTTTCTGCAAAACGCTACAGAAAACGCTTAGGTGTGAACCTAGGGTAAGGGTCTCGTAAGAAAATGTACAAGAACATATAATAATTAATCAAAGTCGGTATAATGGTGAGGCTTAAAACAGCTGTTGACAATCTCTAATCATTTGGTACCTGGTAGAAAAGTAATAAAAAAAACCAAAAAACTAATTGTTCTACATCCCCACTCACTAGATCGTTCACTAATGGTAGAGCTTCCATAGAGTAGGGAGAGCAAAAAGGTGGTATTTCAGTTGTACCAACAAACATATAAAACTTATAGTAAACCTAAAAAAAAATCATTAGCTTAGGGCTCCAAAAGTCTTCAACATTGTACTTATTAAAGCTTTTTAGTATAATGAGAAGCAGAAGGAAGAACAGGAGAAGAAGAGAGGTGAGGTTGCCAGGGATGGTAAAGAGGCCTTCTCCCAGGTCTCATCAGGCTGGAGAAATATATTAGATCCTGGGGTCCTAGGTCTTTTTAAATTTTGTATTGTTGTTCTGAAGGGTACATGTACGTAGGTTTATAGTTGATTACAATCCAGTTTAGTTTTTGATGACCATAGTCCATATGCACCATAGTCAGTTTCCAGCACCTCACTATGGCTATTCGAGCCCCTAACATTATATATGAGATTAGTCTTATAATTAATTTTAGGAATGGCTGAATCCTGTTTCTGGAACAATTCCACTTCCGGGATCTAAGAATATTTGTGCCCGTTACTGACCAGATGGGAGCAAAAATGTTTATCCGAAATCTGTTTACTTTGGGACATTGTCACCAGACATGTTGACTGCATTGTCTATAATAAGTTGGGGACATTGACGGATGCAATGGAGTGATCCAAGTTGGCACTAAATTCCATTGAAATTGAGTTTATAAACAGATTCTATCAGGGTTGTGTTGATATAGGTTTTAGATAAATTGTTGCCAATATTCTGCCATTCAGATAGAAAGACACTTTTAGATCTTGTTCCTCTTGTTCTCAAAGATAATAACCGAACAAGGTTGAAAGTCACTTTTAGAACTTGTTAAAGTTTTAAAATTTCAGAACTAAAAAGTGTATTTGTAGCCAAAACTTGTGGAGAGTCACTCTCTTTATTCATCCTGGTGACCATTGTCCCTGGGACAAAAAGGATGGATGATCCAAAATGTTTAGTGGCCACCGAACAAAGGATTAGGTACAATCCTCCAATGGGCACATCTCCTGAAAGCCAGACAGGAGGGGAATGGAAGTCTTCCCAATGAGATACAAATATTGAAAAATCCCACCTCGCTATAAACCCCGCCCCACACTCCCCTCAGGTCAATTGCCCCAATTTAAAAATGTCTAAACTAAATGGATCAAATATGTACCTGATGTACCAAGTCTTCTGTTCTGCACTGCAGAGTGGTAGGGTTCTTTTCAGGAGCCCAGGTCATTGCATGGTGATGCATGGTGGTGCTTGGTGGACACCTCCTATTGGGTCCATCAGTGGGATCCTCACAGTATCTTGAAGACTTTATTGGCAGCATCATGACCTCAAAATGAGGGGCAGCCACAAACCTGGTCAATGGCAGTCTCAGACTGAATCAGGGAATCGCTAGTTTTCTCTCCTATAGGAGCTGTGGAGGACAACATGATGGCAGAGGGGGAGATAAAAAAATATTTGCGAAGGGTTTTTTTTGTAAATGAGTGGTAGGGATTGGGTAGTGTTCAAAATTTGAAGTGGGCCTTAACTATTCCCATCTCTAAAAAAATGGACAATGGGCAATGGAAACACATTAAATTGAAGAACTTCTGGATTGTTCTGCATGTAGGGATTCCATTACTCTGACTGATCATTTCTCATACGCTCCAGATCCAAACCCTAACCACAGTCCTCAGTCAAAAGGGAGCACCATTATTGTTCTTGACATGCTGAGCATATCAGCTAAGTATGGTTTTAAATTGAGATTCCATCCAACCACCCCTAAAAAGCAGTGTATAAATAGAAATTACCAGTCTTCATTTGACCCATCATTGGAGGAGACATTTATGGGAAAGATGATAATAACATTTAGCAGAGTATTATTTTGCCATATTTTCTCCATTTATCTGTTTCTTTGAATTTGTCCATTTAAAAATGTCTCGTTGACCCACTTGTCATCATCTGAAACTTTCAATTTCTTTCTATGTAGCTGGGCTATCAGGACCCCAACCGTGTGAGAAACTCCCAACACTTCTACGCTTCCACTCACTCCTGGCCGGAGGGCACTAGACATGTTGTCTATGGGAGGCTTCAGGGTGGACCAGAATCACCTTTACCTATACAGTGGCCCAGTGACACTCACCGTTCCTGGGCAGAATTAAGAAGGAAGCTTCCCCGTGACAGTGTGGACAGCAGCTTGATGGATGATGTCCTAGACAGTTCTGAAAGAATTGAAAGGATGAGCCAGATGACCGAAGGTGACCAGGACCGTCAACCAGAAGAAGAAGGAAGGACATTGAAAGGTGTCTATGTTTAGTTATGTGTTAGTTGTTTGAAGAATGGGGCTATCTAGGTGGTGAAGGTGGTTTAGTTAATGTTCAAGGTCGTCAAGGCCCCAATGGGGACATATATTATGTCAGTGCTTGTTAACTAGTGCCTAGGAAATTTTATTGGGGTTTATAAAGCTTTGGTTGGTTTCTGTTGTGATGTACAGCACTGTGTCCAAGATCATAGGCTTTAGCAACCATTTTGAAACATCACATTTACATATATGACATTTTGAGGTCCTGAAAACGGACATGGGCACACACTATGAAGTAACTCTTATCTAAAAGAACTAGCAATGTTCACACATATATACTGTTAAAGGTTTCACATCAATACACAACTTGATAAACATGAGTTTTGTAAGCCAAGTCTAGGCTTTTGTTGCTTTTTATATCAGCCATTTATGACTTAAAGGATAAGTTCACCTTTTAACAAAAAAATAATAAATGCACATATTTTTGCAGGTAAAAAAAAAATGCGCATTTACTATTTTAGTTTTTTTTTGGAGCCTGTAAAGCATTGCACCTGCGATCAGCAGATCACTGGTGCCATGCAGGTCTCCTGCAGACTGTCAGTGTATCTGTGCCTCATATGGGCAGGCAGTTACTCTCTGACAGGAAGAATCAATGAATTAGCAGAGCGCTCAACAGCGCTGTGGTAGTTCATCAATAACTACAAGCCAATATAGAATGCATGAAGATAAAAAACCTCGAGCCTTTACATCCACTTTAAATGGCTGCATTGATTGCTTGGTCGGTAAAGCTGACCATGAAATTTACCAAAAACCAATATGTAAAAAGAGTTACATATTGCCATATGTATTATTACAAAATATGTACATATGCTACATGTATGACTCAAACACCCAACATGCTAGATATCGTCATTAATAACATCTAAAGTGTAAATGCCATTCTTATTTGAAAGTCTCACGGCTTCTATACGGTATATTCAGTGACAGTTGCTCTTCACTCCTTTGGATAGACAGAGATACATAATGGTCTGTTCTTTTTTGTTTCAGGTCCTATGGGAAAGCAGAACATGTTGGAGATGCAGTCTGTTCCAGATATACAAAGTTTGGGAGATGTGCAGAGTTTAGCGGGAGTGTTTGAGAAATATGGCGTAGACTTAAGACAGCTCAGCGAATCCCAACTGGAGCAGCTGTCCGCTTTTCTTCAGTTAATCCAATCAGATGCTCTACAGAACCAGGGTATGGAAGTGATATTATTATTATTATACAGGATTTATATGGGGACTATTCTCTAAGAGATAAACACCGCGTACATTTTGGAGTTGAAATAACTCAAGCGGTATTTGTCCCAAAAGTAGCCAATTCACTAAAAAAATATGCGTTCTTTACCAAACAAATTAAATATTTACGGTTTTCAATATTTATCACTTAACCACTTGCCGTCCGCCTGCTGTTTATAAAAACGGCAGGGTGGTGGCAGTCCAGGGGCGGGTTGCCGTTCATAAACGGCACCCGCCTTTTCTAGCTGTGCGCGCTCCCTGGGAGCGCGCAGCACCGCGATCCGGTGCCCGCTGTGTCCTCCGGACACAGTGAAACACCAATCGTTGGACGGGCCTCTGTACGAGGTCCCGATCATGTGATCACTGATTGGCGAATCAGTGATCACATGCAAAGTAGTAAGCAAGATGTCACTTGTGACATCATTGCTTACTACGTGTGAAATCTGTGAATGATCACAGAGGTCACATGGTACAAGGCTATTCACAACAGCCTTGTACCATGTGACAAGCTGTGACCAATCACAGCTCACTCAGTACTTCTCAATGACTGCAAGAATGCAGACAGAGAGAAAGAGAAATGATTGCTTTTACATCCTATATGGGTGTAAAAGCAATCAGTGTAAAAAAAAAAAAAAAAAAAAATCTTCATCACCCCCCACAAGTAGTACAGTGTCACCATGGTGACACTGTACTGCTAGGGTGACAGTATGTAAAAAAAAAAAATAAAAAATGAAAAATAATAATATAAAAAAAAAAAATAAAAATGTAAAAAAAAAATGTTTAAAAATTATAATTTTTTTGGTTATAAACTAGTTTGGATTTTTTTTTTTTTTTACTAAAAAAATAATGGAATAAATTTTGGCCAAGATTTATGATGAAATATTATTTATTTGCAACATTTTATTTAAAAAAAACCCCTTTTTTTTTTTTTCAAATTTTTGGACTTTTTCATTTACATAGTAAAAAAAATAAAAATCTCAGCGGTGAATAAATACCACCAAAATAAAGTTTTATCTGTCTCAAAAAATGCTAAAAAATTCATATCGGTACAGTGTTGCATGACCGCGTAATTGTCATTCAAAGTGTGATAGCGCTGAAAGCTGAAAATTGCCCTGGTCAGGAAGGGGGTAAAAGTGTCCGGACAGGAAGTGGTTAAAGTGGAGCTGCAGTCCCCAGAAGAATTTTTTTTTTTAAAAGCTGACCCAGGATTGCTTATTCTTTAACCACTTCCAAGTCCGGACACTTTCACCCCCTTCCAGTCCAGGCCAATTTTCAGCTTTCAGTGCTATCACAGTTTGAATGACAATTGCGCGGTCATACAACACTGTACCCATATGAACTTTTTAGCATTTTTGAGACAGATAAAGATTTATTTTGGTGGTATTTATTCACCACTGGGATTTTTATTTTTTTTGCTATATAAATGAAAAAGTCCAAACATTTTGAAAAGAAGTGTTTTTCTTATAAAGTTTTGCAAATAAATAATCTTCATAAATCTTGGGCAAAATTTATTCAGCTATCTTTTTAGTAAATCAAAATAACCCAAATTAGTTTATAACCAAAAATTATAATTTTTCAAAGAATGTTTTTACATTTTTATTGTTTTTTTTATATTATGTATGATTTTTTTTTAACATACTGTCACCCTAGCAGTACAGTGTCACCATGGTTACATTGTACTACTTGTAAGGGGTGATGAAGTTTTTGTTTTTTTATTTGCACTGATTGTTTTTACACCCATAAAGACTGTAAAATCAAACATTTCTCCTTCTCTCTGGCTGCATTCCTGCAGCCATTGAGAAATACTGTGAGAGCTGTGATTGGTCACAGCTTGTCACATGGTACAAGGCTGTTGTGAATAGCCTTTTACCTTGTGATCTCTGTGATCACTCACAGATTTCACACGTAGTAAGCAATGATGTCAGAAGTGACATCTTGCTTACTACTCCTATTCATGTGATCACTGATTGGCCAATCAGTGATCACATGATCGGTACCTCACACAGAGGTCCTGTACAGCGTTCGGTGTTCCGCTGTGTCCAGCGGGCACAAGATCACGGTGCCGCACACTCCCAGGGAGCGCGCACAGGCTAAAATGGTGGGCACCGTTTATGAACAGCAACCCGCTCCTGCACTGCTCCCGTCCGGCCATTTATATACATGGGACGGACGGGAAGTGGTTAACATTAACAATTGGATATTTGTTATAGCCTTATAATTAGTTTTTAATATGTAAATCTTTACCTGGATCTCGGAAGCAGGCAGGCGCCATGATGGCTGTGGGCATCTGAAGCCCGCAAGTCTTTATTTCCCGGAGTTGGTGCTGCTGGCTATCCCAGCATGCAACACTCGATCTCACGCCTGCGCAGTAATGACACTGCTCGGCGCTACTTGTATACAATAGGTTGTATACATAGAACAGCACAGTCCGCAGCACTGATGTTACACATCCTCCCCACAGAGGACTCCGGTAAAATGGCGCCAAACTCCTCCCATTCGCGTTACTTCTGGTTTCAAAGTAATGCGATAGTCAGTCACTAGGAACCCAAAGGACTCCTGCGATACAGGACCCGACATCCTAGGAGACTTTGCGAATCGCCTTAACACGTCATCGCGTAGGATGCCGGAACCGGAATTGCAGTCTTTAACCCCTTGACGCCGGTCGGCGCAAATATGCGCCTCTCTGCGTCTGGGCCTTGATGCCGAGCGGCCGCATATTTGCGTGCAATTAGAAAATACATATGTGCTAAGAGCATGCACCCTGCCGGCTCCCAGCGCATATGTCCACGACTCCTGGAAAGGTCCCGATCTCTCCTTTCGATCGGGACCTTTTCTGATCATGTGACCGCCGTGCCGGCGAATCACGGCGGTCACATGACCCTAAAACCCCACCCTGCCTCCCGGCTTCTGAAACTCTTAAAGGGCCGGGAGATGCCGGCGCGAAGAGGTTAAACTTGATTTTAGGTATTTATAATATGAAAAAAAAATGATTATCCAAATCATGCTGGACCAGGGGCGGACTGACAACTCATGGGGCCCCCGGGCAATAGGGGATCATGGGGCCCCTGTGTCCTTGCCAAAACTCAAAAAAGCCTATGAAAAAGGTACCAGGGGCATCTCATGGGGCCCCCTACTGACCCCGGGCCCTTGGGCAGTGCCTGAGTTTCCAAATGGTCAGTCCGACCCTGTGCTGGACAACACAGGAACAATGTAAACAGAGGCACATTAAAAAAAGGGTGGAACTCCGCTTTAAATTTAGTTATTTAAGGTGTTGTTTTTTCTCAATTTTTTTCTCACATGCTAACACTGCACCAGAGGGAGATACATCTGTACATGAATACAGAAATAGGAAAATGCTTTCTGTCACAGAGCGATCTCCCTCTGGTGAAATGTTACAATTTATTTTCATTCCTGAGCTCAGGCCTGGTTCACACCTCTGCGTTTTTCAGCGCATTTTGGGGCAGCACAGTGGCTAAATGGTTAGCACTTCCGCCTGGCAGTATTAGTGTCGCTGGTTCAAATCCCAACCACAGCATCACCTGCCTGGAGTTTGCATGTTCTCCCTGTGCCTGTGTGGGGGTACTCTGGTTTCCTCCCACACTCCAAAAGACATGCTGGTAGGTTAATTGGTTCCGGTCTAAATTGTCTCTAGTATGTGTATGTATGAATGTGAGTTAGGGACCTTAGATTGTACACCCCTTGAGGGTTAGGGACTGATGTGAATGTACAATATATATGTAAAGTGCTGCGTAAATTGACGGCGATATATAAGTACCTGAAATAAATAATAATAAAATAAATACATTTTCAGTTTCGCACAAACGCACCACAGTCCATTTAACATGATTTCCTATGGGTCACGTTCACAAATGTGTTTTTTCCACCAGTTCATTTTTTGGAAAGGGTCAGGGATTCTTTTGCGCCTATGAGGAAAGAACAAACAGAGGGCGCACAGGCTAGTGCATTACCATTAAAAATGTTTAATAAGAAATAAAGTAGGTTTTGTACTCACAAACGACAGTAAAGTCAAGGCACGTCATAAAAGAACAGCTGGGCCAACACCGCACTGAGTAACAGTCCGCAATAGGGAGTGTAGACATCCAATAGGCTGACGCGTTTTGAGGACTTGCCTCTTCCTCAGAGCCTTTTTTGCGTGCAGCCGGTTGCAATTTTGGTTCCATAGACTTCAATGGAAGCGCATCAAAAATGCAGTGCTTGAATTTTTTATGCGTTTTTGGTGGTTTCTCTCAAAAGACAAAAGACGCCTCCCAAAAACGTAAAATGGATCAAAACCACATTAAAAATGTGTCAAAATGCATGTGAAAAAAAACGCAAAACGCACCAACAAAATGCATCAGCCACAACCTGCATAGGTGTGAACCATTCCACACTGATACGTTGTATACTTTTAACTTACTGTCCACTGCAGAGTTCTCCTCATTGTTACTTTGCAGATTGCTGAAATACTGGAAGGTGATAAATAATGAATGTTCTTTAGTGAACTGACTTTCATGATATATCCCTTTCTTTTTTTTCTTTTCTTTTTTTTTTTTCTTTTCACCTCACATTTGATATTTTACTTTGATGAACTGACTCTCATATTATCTCATGCGACATTTCTGAAAAATGAGTCATGTGACCTTCACATCACATGCTGTCATGTTGCTTTGTATTCTGTATCTTATTTATTTATTTATTTATTTCAGGTACTTATATAGTGCCGTCAATTTATGCAGAGCTTTACATACAGGTGAAACTCGAAAAATTAGAATATGGTGCAAAAGTTCATTTATTTCAGTAATGCAACTTAAAAGGTGAAACTAATATATGAGATAGACTCATTACATGCAAAGCAAGATAGTTCAAGCCGTGATTTGTCATCATTGTGATGATTATGGCTTACAGCTCATGAAAACCCCAAATCCACAATCTCAGAAAATGAGAATATTGTGAAAAGGTGCAATATTCTCGGCTCAAAGTGTCCCACTCTAATCAGATAATTAAGCCATAACACCTGCAAAGGGTTCCTGAGCCTTTAAATGGTCTCTCAGTCTGGTTCAGTAGGAATCACAATCATGGGAAAGACTGCTGACCTGACAGTTGTGCAGAAAACCATCATTGACACCCTCCATAAGGAGGGAAAGCCTCAAAAGGTAATTGCAAAAGAAGTTGGATGTTCCCAAAGTGCTGTATCAAAGCACATTAATAGAAAGTTATGTGGAAGGGAAAAGTGTGGAAGAAAAAGGTGCACAAGCAGCAGGGATGACCGCAGCCTGGAGAGGATTGTCAGGAAAAGGCCATTCAAAAGTGTTGGGGACTTTCACAAGGAGTGGACTGAGGCTGGAGTCAGTGCATCAAGAGCCACCACACACAGACGGATCCTGGACATGGGCTTCAAATGTTGTATTCCTCTTGTCAAGCCGCTCCTGAACAACAAACAACGTCAGAAGTGTCTTACCTGGGCTAAAGAAAAACAGACCTGGTCTGTTGCTCAGTGGTCCAAAGTCCTCTTTTCTGATGAGAGCAACATTTGCATCTCATTTGGAAACCAAGGACCCCGAGTATGGAGGAAGAATGGAGAGGCCCAAGGACCCCGAGTATGGAGGAAGAATGGAGAGGCACAAGGACCCCGAGTATGGAGGAAGAATGGAGAGGCACAAGGACCCCGAGTATGGAGGAAGAATGGAGAGGCACAAGGACCCAGAGTATGGAGGAAGAATGGAGAGGCACACACTGCAAGATGCTTGAAGTCCAGTGTGAAGTTTCCACAGTCTGTGTTGATTTGGGGAGCCATGTCATCTGCTGGTGTTGGTCCACTGTGCTTCATTAAATCCAGGGTCAACGCAGCCGTCTACCAGGAGATTTTGGAGCACTTCATGCTTCCTTCCACAGACGAGCTTTATGGGGATGCTGACTTCATTTTCCAGCAGGACTTGGCACCTGCCCACACTGCCAAAAGCAACAAAACCTGGTTCAATGACTGTGGGATTACTGTGCTTGATTGGCCAGCAAACTCGCCTGACTTGAGCCCCATAGAGAATCTATGGGGCATTACCAAGAGAAAGATGAGAGACATGAGACCGAACAATGCAGAAGAGCTGAAGGCCGCTATTGAAGCATCCTGGTCTTCCATAACACCTCAGCAGTGCCACAGGCTGATAGCTTCCATGCCACGCCGCATTGAGGCAGTAATTGCTGCAAAAGGGGCCCAAACCAAGTATTGAGTACATATGCATGCTTATACTTTTCAGAGGTCCGTTGTTCTATGTACAATCCTTGTTTTATTGATTGCATGGAATATTCTCATTTTCTGAGATTGTGGATTTGGGGTTTTCATGAGCTGTAAGCCATAATCATCACAATGATGACAAATCACGGCTTGAACTATCTTGCTTTGCATGTAATGAGTCTATCTCATATATTAGTTTCACCTTTTTAGTTTCAGTCCCTAACCCTCAAGGGGTGTACAATCTAAGGTCCCTAACTTACATTCATACATACACATACTAGGGACAATTTAGACAGGAGCCAATTCACCTACCAGCATGTGTTTGGAGTGTAAATAACTCTTTATCTTTTAACTGCTTCAGGACTGCCATATGAATATATAAATACAGGTGTACCTCGGTTTACGAATTTAATGCGTTCTCCGGGACGTTTCATATTGCGAAAAATTCGTAAACTCACTGTTTCCCATAGGAATGCATTGAAAACCAATTAATCCATTCTGGAGGTCAGAAAAAAGTGAAAAAAAAACTGCTGTCACTATAGGCCAGTGCCAGTTTTTAAATGTAATTACCGCTTTTTTTTTTTCTTCAGTATAGCTCAGAGAATCAGCTGTCACTTTTCCTCCCAGCTAAAAGAGAGAAAGTTTCTTTTTAGTTTATTTCCCTGAGTTAAAAGAAACAATGTTTCCTTTTAGTTTGTACCCTGAAATAAAAGAAACAAAGTATCCTTTAGCTCCAGGGAAAGTGATAGCTAATTCTGTGAGCTATAGTGAAGAAAAAAAAAAGCCGGAAATTGCATTTAAAAATCGGCACCGACATACACTTCATATATAAAAGTAATCCGAGCTGCTCTGCACCGCTGGATTACTTATACAGGTGCTCCCACCCTCCCCTCGCTGCCGCCTTTACCGGGCTCTCTCGTGCAATCAGTGGCATTGGCTCCCCGGGACACAGTGGGAGGAACAACATCAGATGTCAGAAACCAAAAGCGACGACTATTTAGCAGGGGCGGACTGACAACTCATGGGGCCCCCGGGCAATAGGGGATCATGGAGCCCCTGTGTCCTCGCCCACACCCAAAAAAGCCTATGAAAAAGCCAATGAAAGGTACCAGGGGCATCTCATGGGGCCCCCTACTGACCCCGGGGCCCTCGGGCAGCTCCCGAGTGCTCGAATGGTCAGTCCGCCCCTGCTATTTAGTCAATTCCGGTTTTGGCTCTGTGTTTACTGTCCAGTTACCGGCCAATCAAACAGCCGATCAGACCAATCTGTGTCTGCTCAGCTACATAGGAGGCCAGAGGAGAGATCAGGGGTCTAACAGACCCCTGATCTCTTCATAAAGAGGACCTGTCATAGCCTATCGCATCGGGCAGTGCCTGAGTTTCCAAATGGTCAGTCCGCCCCTGGCGCTATATTTCAAATTTCAGTATTTTTGGTTTGATTATATTATTGAATTAAATTTATTATTATATGATTATTTATTATTTTATAATTTATGATTTTGTGTTTCAAGTTTTATCCTACCCGGGATGTTTACTAGACTCTTGTGTGGACAGATTTCAGTGAGTTATTCCTAAGAATTACAGGCCTACAATAAACATACAACATATTTCCATTGAAAAAAAAATTACCGCTTTGAGCACAGAATTACTGACATAATCAGACCGCTATGGAAGTTAAAGTGTATTTTTTACCCAAGTTGCACATTTACTGTGTGACATAAATTGCAACACCCACCATTTTATTCTCTGGGGCCTTTGCATAAGAAATATATAACGTTTGGGGTTTCTAAGTAATTTTCTAGCAAAAAAAAAGATAATTTTTACATGTAGGAGAGAAATGTCAGAAGTGACCCTGCAGGCAAGTGGTTAGTTATAGAGAGGCCTATGGGGGCATTGTATAAATATTTCTGTAAAGAAGAAAACCCCTTTAATTCGTCTTCTATCTTTTTGCAGGGGCAAGGAATGTGGATAAAAGCCCACCGAAAAGAGTGAGTAATATTTTTATGGCACCAAAAACACTAGATTGTTTGTAATTGTGTGTGTTCTTACCATATGCTGGGTAGTTTATTGCCAACTGTCACTGATTTCTGGAGACACCCCCTTATTTTGGACATTGATCAACGTTTCAGTAAAATCCTATTCAAATGCTTGTTTTTTTTTTATCATTCCAGTTGTCCATTCATATTATGTTGATTTTCACTGGTCTCTATAAAGAAATACGGATGTTGCGCACTCTGGAGCCGGGCATTGCGCCCACAGTCAGATGATGGCCTTATTTATTAAATAGTAACTGCAGAGAGGGCGGCACAGTGGCTTAGTGGTTAGCACGTCTGCCATGCAGTAAATGGGTCATGGACAGGGGCGGACTGACCATTCGAGCACTCGGGCACTGCCCGAGGGCCCGGGATCAGTAGGGGGCCCAGTGAAATGCCCCTGGTACCTTTTATAAGCTTTTTTTGGGTGTGCTATGAGTGCGGGCAAGGACACAGGGGCCCCATGATCCCCTATTGCCCGGGGGACCCGATGAGTTGTCAGTCTGCCCCGGTCATGAATTCGATTCCTGACCATGGTGCCTCCTACATGGAGTTTGCATGTTTTCCCTGTGCTTGCGTGGGTTTCCTCTGGGTACTCCGGTTTCCTCCCACCCTCCAAAGACATGCTGGTAGGTTAATTGGCTCCTGTCTAAATTGTCCTAGTTCATCCCTGGCCATGTGGGATCTCCTGCATGGTGGGGGTTGGGGAAAGACCTGGCAGCCTATCCTGTAAATATAATTGCTAAGAGAATTCATGGAAAAAGTCGCTTGCAAGTGACAGTCCATGCAAGGGTCAGACACGACTGAATAGATAGATAGATGGATGGATGGATAGAGGGATAGATAGATGGATAGATAGATAGATAGATAGATAGATAGATAGATAGATAGATAGATAGATAGATAGATAGATAGATAGATCTTCAGAGAAAAAAACATAGGGGTCTATTTATATTTTTTTTAAAAAGTTGGACGACTGTGATAAACATTCACCCATCCTTGACAATTTATTTCCACATTTTTAATACGATGATTCTATGCCAAACTGGCGGCCCTCCAGCTGTTTCCAAACTACAAGTCCCATGAGGCATTGCAAGATTGACAGTTACAAGCATGACTCCTAAAGGCAGAGGCATGATGGGACTTGTAGTTTGGCAACAGCTGGAGGGCCGCCAGTTTGACACCCCTGTTCTATGCGATCTTCGGCTCCACCTAGTGGCCATATCACCTTATTTCTACTGAAATACATCAATCACAAAAAAATACCACAATATGGCCACTAGATGGAGCTGACGATCATCCTGCCTGGAAATCACTATGCTGATTGACTGTAGGGAAAAGATGTTCCGGCCCGTGGTCACCACCCCACCCCTATTTTACTGATTGGATAAGTTTGGAGAAGCAGCATATTGATAAGGTTACCCCTTAAAATGGTAGAATGCATCAGAAGTTGTTTTCCACTGCTGGCCCACTCTAGAAATAGAAATAATAGAAAGATAAGTATTAGTCTCCTTTCATACTTGTGCAGTTTGTCATGCGACTTTAGATACATAAAATCACATGACAAGTATTTCAATGGAAGCCGTTCAAATATATGCGACTTAAAGTTGCAGCGACTTTAAAAAGGTTCCTGCGCTATTTTCATGGGACTTTCATGGGACTTGAGTGTCATAGACTGCAATCTAAACTCTCAAAAGTCACATGAAAGTCACATCTTAGCCCGGGTTCACACTGATGGGGTGCGGAATTTGCTGCATTTTCTGTGAGAATTCTGCACCGCATCACAATCGCACCCCGTTAATGCGAAGCAATGTTTATGTTAAGTTAACAACACCCCGAAAGCGGACTGCAAAATGCGGTGCGATGTGCAGATTCGGATCGCATAGGTGTGAATACTCATGCGATCCAATTCTAGTGCGACCCCAAAAAAAAGGGTCCTGCACCTTTTTGGTGTGCGTGCGGTGCGATTAGAGCCATAGTAAATGTATGTCTCCGATCGCACCGCACACAAATCACATGTGATTTGCACAGGAATCCTGGGCAAATCACATGCGATATGTCGCACCTCATATATGTGAACCCAGGCTTAAAGTGTTACTAAACCCACAACAGTACAATCAGTCTGTATACGCAGTAAAGCATGCTGGTTATACTCACTGTGGAACCTAAGAGGTTAATCCTCTGCATTTTGTAAAAATTCTGTCTGATCCTGTCTTCTCTGATTCTCCCCCTTCTTCCAGTGCCCCCCTCTTATCCTCTGATAAGACATATTGTGTACAGTCACTCTGCACATGCTCAGTTTGGTGTGTATTGCTTGAGAGTTTTGTTTTTTTCTTGGGAGGGTGCATGTGATCAGCACAGGGCCAGTCAGCACTGTCCAGACAGAGGTCAGGGGTTCTTATCCTTCTAGAGCAGAAAGAAAACTCCTCCTACAAGCTTTAATCAGTGCTCTGCTGGAGACTGATAGAAGTCACAAAACTGCTATATACTGCTGATGAGAAAAGGTATATAGTGAATGCAGGGTCCGGGGAGATCGGATATAGTGAATGCAGGGTCCGGGGAGACCAGATATAGTGAATGCAGGGTCCGGGGAGACCGGATATAGTGAATGCAGGGTCCGGGGAGACCAGATATAGTGAATGCAGGGTCCGGGGAGACCAGATATAGTGAATGCAGGGTCCGGGGAGACCAGATATAGTGAATGCGGGGTCCGGGGAGACTAGATATAGTGAATGCAGGGTCCGGGGAGAACGGATATAGCGAATACAGGGTCTGGAGGAGACCAGATATAGTGAATGCAGGGTCCGGGGAGACCAGATATAGCAAATGCAGGTTCCGGGGAGACAAGATATAGTGAATACAGGGTCCGGGGAGACCAGATATAGCAAATGCAGGTTCCGGGGAGACCGGTTATAGTGAATGCAGGTCCGGGGAGACCAGATATAGTGAATGCAAGGTCCGGGGAGACCAGATATAGTGAATGCAGGGTTCGGGGAGACCGGATATAGTGAATGCAGGGTCCGGGGAGACCAGATATAGTGAATGCAGGGTCCGGGGAGACCGGATATAGTGAATGCAGGGTCCGTGGAGAGCGGATATAATGAATGCAGGGTCCGGGGAGACCAGATATAGTGAATGCAGGGTCCGGGGAGACCAGATATAGTGAATGCAAGGTCCGGGGAGACCAGATATAGTGAATGCAGGGTCCGGGGAGACCAGATATAGTGAATGCAGGGTCCTGGGAGACCAGATATGGTGAATGCAGGGTCCGGGGAGACCGGATATAGTGAATGCAGGGTTCGGGGAGAGCGGATATAATGAATGCAGGGTCCTGGGTTTAGTAACACTTTAATGTTATCAATGCGACAGATGTGTAGCAGTCAAAGTCACATCCAAGTCACACTCATCCAAAGTAGCACCAAAGTTGTACTGTAAAGTCACAATGGAAATCGCGTGTATTTGGAGTCGCACAAGTGTGACTGGAGCCTAAAGTGTATCTGCAGCCAAAGTATTTTTTCAGTTTTTGATAAGAGTGGGGACCACTGGCCCTGTTGAGGAGATTTTCCTTCACTTCCTGTTCTGGTGACAACACACCATCAGGACAGGGAATTAAGACAAATCTCCAGGAGTAACATAGATAGCTAGAAAAAACTACTAGTAGTAGTATTACTATTAGCTGGCACTACAGGAGAAGGTTAGCTTTTTATTGCCATCTATGTTCCCATTGTAGAGCGTAGAGATGAGGTGCAATTGAATACAAGTGTAAATTGACCCCATTTCCCAGCTAGAAGGTGTCCAGTATCATCTAGCACTTTCCTCCCCAGCCTGACTATCCCTGGCCTGTCCCTTTCATTCATTGGATTTCAGTTGTAGCGATGAGACGGTATCCCAGCAGCCGCACACCTATCCATGTAGTTATTGGGTAAAAAGCAGCCTCAGCTCTCTCCATCTGAAGCCAAAGCCCCAACGCGTTTCGACTTAAATGTGAACAAAATGTATTTTGTACTTATATAATTTACGCAGCACTTTACATATATATTGTACATTCACCTCAGTCCCTAACCCTCCAGGGGCGTACAATCTAAGGTGTCATAGACCTTTTACCTAATAACTACGTGTCTGGATAGGTGTATGGCTGCTGGAATACCTTCTCATATCTACAGCGTGTCATGAGTCAGGATCAGGGGCGGACTGACCATTTGGAAACTCGGGCACTGCCCGGGGTCAGTAGGGGGCCCCATGAGATGCCCCTGGTACCTTTTTCATAGGCTTTTTTGAGTTTGGGCAAGGACACAGGGGCCCCATGATCACCTATTGCCCGGGGCCCCCATGAGTTGTCAGTCTGCCCTGGTTAGGATGCTCTCACTCCCAGCCTGCACCCACAAAGCAGTTTCCATCTCATAGGACTATGGTTGACTGGGTGGAGGCCTCTAAGCAGCATTCAGGGTCACAGTGGGTTTCAGTTATTTCAACCATGGAGGCTCCGCATAACACATGGGCACTACCGCAGCTTCCTTTTTTCAGGAAGCCACATACAGCACCCTGCATTGCATAGAGAAGCACAGAGACCCAGTAATGATGTCACAGGGTCTAAAATAAGATATGTAATGAAAACAGATATGTTTTATTTAATAATTTCATTGCCATGTTGATGAGGGGGAAAGGAGGAACCAAGGAAGGTAAAATGTGAGGAGGTTAAACTTCAGCTTTATTCTTTCATCACAGGTCTCTGAGGGGAGATGCAGCACTTGGCCCAGGATGAACCGCAGTTCTCAGCTCCAGAATTATCCCCAAGAGAGATCTCTCCAGCCCCTCTGGCCCTGAATACTGACCAGCGAGTACCCGACGGACGCATAAGCGCAACAACCACCACCGTCACTACCCACCTGATACCTGATGCCCAGACAATGGTGGAGAAGCCTGGGAACCCAATGGCAGCTGAAGGCGGGGAAGAACAGGTCCCAGAGAAGAAAAGTTACCCAGAAGTCTCAGAGTTGAGTTTGGACCCTGGGCAGAGCCCTCACAAAGCTACAGAGGACTATGGATACATCCTGACCGACCAAAAGTGAGTTCCTTCATTATTAACACAAACTGACAGGGCTGCAATCAGAGAAAGGGAGTACTGGGGAGTCTCTGACCACATCTGTGGGCAGGAGACCACCTGCTTGCCTTCGTTTTAAAGATTAAAGCGATATTAAACTCAAAAGCACACATTTGTTATATTGCAGCTTACCGATTCTTAGATGTGGTGGCTGCATTTGTTTTCTTTTTTAGGCTTTCTTTCCCTTATTTTCACCTGGTTATCCAGCCAGTAAGTCTGTTGTTTTTCAAAAGAACAAGCTGTCTGATGTATCAGTTACAGACATGAGACAAACCATTTGTCACTGGCATGGGTACTTACAACGATCAGTTCTATTTATTTATGTAAAAACTTTATTTCAAAAAGAGAGAAAAAAACTGTTTGCTGTAATTGCTGCTAAAGTGTGAGCTGGAGTTTGGCTTCAATTGGTTAGTGTATTTAAATCTGCTAGTACATGTAATAACCCCCCCACCCCTTCCAGATTCACAATGCTACTGTCTGCTGTGCCCCCTGTGCTCCTTAACCTCTTCATTCCAGAGCCTCCTGGCCCTTTAAGGGGTTTCAGACACCGGGAGGCAGGGCGGGGTTTTAGGGTCATGTGACCGCTGTGATTCACTATCATGTCAGTCACATGATCGGAAAAGGTCCCGATCGCAAGGGGAGATCGGGACCTTTCTGTGAGACACCTACACACGTGCTGGGAGCGTGCAGGGCAAATGGTACGCAAATATGTGTTTTCAAATCGGTACGTCAAATATGTAGCCGCTCGGCCAAGGTCAAGGTCCAGCCTCCGAGAGGCCGCATATTTGTGTACGGTCGGTGTCAAAGGGGTTAATCATGAGTGGGGGCACTCTAATACGTTAGATGTGTTATTGGCCAGATCAGCAGGTGAAAACAGAGGGGTGAAAACGCTTTAAAAAAAAACTAATGCAGCCATCATAACTAATGATTGGTAAGCTTCATTACATGACATTTTTGGTTTTTGAGTTTAGTGCATTTGTACGGCAAGGCAGAGTTGTAGACCAGAATTAGATGCCGCAAACATTTGTTTTAGGTACATACTGCCTTTGCCATCCGCATCCACATAGTGCTTGTATCATATTTAACCCCCATTCACTGCCAGAGCCTTTTTGCATATGTTAAAAAAAAAATCATTTTAGGCCTGAAGATGACTTAAAACCCCCAAAACGTATATTTTCTGGAAGCAGAGACCCTAAATAATAAAATAGTGATAGTTCCAGATTTTTATGTCACATGATATTAGTTTATAAACCACAATATTTCAACAATACAATACAATAGACAAAAGTTAATTTTAACCCAAAAACACAAAATATTACCCATTTTTTTAATAAAATGTAAAAGATGAGTATCTATTTACTTGCACCAAGTAGATACCCAACATGTCAGGCCTTTAACTGATTCCCCACTGCCCTATAGCAGAACTACTGCTACAGGGCGGCAGGGCTGTGCAAAATCACGTATATATACATGATTTGCATTCCTGGGTGGGGGCGCATGCGGGCGCGCTGCCCTGCCCGTGCTGCCATTGACAGCTACAGCTGTCGATCACTGGTCCCGGCTGGAGATTCCCCACCGGCACCCGGCAATCACCGAGGAGCCGTGACAGGGAAGAGGTCTGTGTGTAAACAACACAGATCTCTCCCCTATCAGCACGAACATGTTGCTTTGTATTATTATTTTATTATTATACAGGATTTATATATTATTATTATTACACAGGATTTATATATTATTTATTATTATTATTATTATACAGGATTTATATATTATTATTATTACACAGGATTTATATATTATTATTATTATTATACAGGATTTATATATTATTTATTATTATTATTATTATTACACAGGATTTATATATTATTATTATTATTATACAGGATTTATATGGCGCCAACAGTTTGCTCAGCGCTTTACAATATAATGGGAGACAATACAGCAACAATACAGTTCAATACAAGAGGGATAGGAGGGCCTTGATCCTGGGAGCTTACAATCTAAATACAGCAGAGCAATACAAAGCAGCTTGTCTACCTAGTAAAACACACACAACACATAATGTAAAACACAACCAAGGGCAGACTGACTACTTCGAAACTCAGGCACTGCCCGAGGGCCCGGGGTCAGTAGGGGGCCCCATAAGTTGCCCCTGGTACCTTTTTCATAGGCTTTTTTGAGTTTGGTCAAGGACACAGGGGCCCCATGATCCCCTATTGCCCAGGGTCCCCATGAGTTGTCAGTCCGCCCCTGAACACAACACAGCACACAGTTAACCCTTTGATCACCCCAGATGTTAACCCCTTCCTGCCCAGTGCCATTAGTACAGTCCCACTATAAGTTGTTGATCGACGCCATTGCTAGTATTAAAATAAAAAATGACAAAATCCAGTATATATACAGCCATTTGTAGCCACTATAACTTGGTATTGGGATTTATTTCTAGCAGAGACATGTAGCGGAATACATTTTGGCCTAAATTTATGACGAAATTAGATTTTTAACCTTTTTTTTTTACTGAATATGTTTTATAGTAAAAAGTCAAAAATATTGTTTTTTTTTTTTCAAAATTGTCGTCCTTTTTTTGTTTATAGCGCAAAATAAAAAATAAAAACCTGCAGAGGTGATCAAATACCACCGACAGAAAGCTCTATTTGGGAAAAAAGGACGTAAATTTAATTTGGGTGCAGCGTTGCATGACCACGTAATTGTCAGTTAAAACACAACACAGTACACAGTTAACCCTTTGATCACCCCATATGTTAACCCCTTCCTGCCCAGTGCCATTAGTACAGTCCCGCTATAAGCTGCTGATCGCCGCCATTGCTAGTATTAAAAGGAAAAAAAAAATCCAGTATATATATACAGCCATTTGTAGCCACTATAACTTTTTTATTGGGATTTTGTTTAGCAGAGACATGTAGCGGAATACATTTTGGCCTAAATTTATGACAAATTTTAATTTTTTATTTTTTTTACTGGATATATTTTATAGTAAAAAGTCAAAATTATTGTTTTTTTTTTCAAAATTGCCTTTTATTGTTTATAGTGCAAAAAAAAAAACCCTGCAGAGGTGATCAAATACCACCGAAAGAAAGCTCTGTTTGTGGGGAAAAAAGGATGTACATTTCATTTGGGTGCAGCGCCGCATGACCGCGCAATTGTCAGTTAAAGTAACACAGCGCCGTATCGCAAAAAATGGCCTGGTCGGGAAAGGGGGGTAAATGCTCTGGAGGGCGAGGGGTTAAATGTGTGCACCCATGAAATGACAACAAACTTTGGTACCCTAACTTTTCCATAGGCAAGCTTTAAAAGCCCCTAGAGGTCTTCAGTTTATAGGTAACCATAAATATTGGTCCCAGAATGATTCTCTCCCTGGTGTGGACGGAGGTATGTAATGCATAGAACAATTGACATTGTTGTGCATAGGTGCCCCTGACAAGTGTGTTTATGTTCATACATACATGTATGTAAGGGGTTGAGTGGAGCTCAACATTTTTTTGTGGGTGCTTGGGTGCAAATTTAATTTTTGACACTTTTTTTTTCCAGCAAAATTTATTTTTTATCACATAGGTAGCAAAAAGTCCCCTATGTGATACTTTTTTTTGTGACAGGTCCTCTTTATTCACCTTGAAGCTAATGATGTGCAGAACACACTCCATTAGCGTCTGCCACAGTCGCCAGGGAAAGTGACAACAAGACCCAGAAGCGACGTTTTACACGGCACCAAAAGGTTTTTAGTAGAAAGGGGAGATCAGTGATTGGACATTCGCTGGTCTCTCTCACTTCTTCTATGGCAGTTGTAGGTCCGGCAATGAGAGCATGGCACCAGAAAAACATAGCGGGGGGTGTACTGGGGGCAAAAGCACAAGGAGTGCTTGGAAGTGATTGGATGACTGTACAGCCACCTTCCATCTGACAGTCAACAGCTTTTATATTATTATTATAGTTTTAATCCCATAGTAGATAAAAAGTCCCCTATGTGATTTTTGGGGTAATAGGTTCTTTTTAATATGAGATCAGGGGTCTAATAGACCCATGATGTTTCACTTGCCCCTCTATGGAGCTAATGAAGTGCAGATCACACTCCATGAGCTTCTTTCCCAGCCAGACCAGTCAGAGAAAATGACACCAGAAATCGGAAGTGACGTTTTACACGTCGCTTCTGGGTTCTTAGTAGGAGGGGGATGTTTGCTGATCTCCTTTCCCTCTACCCGGCCACACCCACCCTGCCAGTCGTAGGTCCACTGATGGAAGCATGGAGCCAAGGAAAAGGGTGTTTCCGGGGGGCAGAAGTACCGGGAGTACTTGGAAACGAATAGTCGGGTATACAGCCACCTAATCTCTTCCTTCAGAAAGGCAAAAGCGGGTGTCCAGTATCATCTAGCTCTTTCCTCTCCAGCCTGACTGTTCCTGACCCACCCCTTTCATTCATTGGATTTCAGTTGTAGGGATGAGAAGTTATTCCAGCAGCTGCACACCTATCCTGCCATGTAGTTATTGGGTAAAAACAGCCTCAGCTCTCTTCATCTGAAGCCAAAGCCTCAGCGTGTTTCGACCCCCCCCCAGGGCTTAATCATGATCATCATTTATTTCAAGTATTTATATAGCTTACGCTTTATATATATATTGTACATTCACATCAGTCCCTAACCCTCAAGGTACCTATCCTGCCATGTAGTTATCATGTAAAATAGCTTCAGTTTGCTCCATCTGAAGTCAAAGCACCAACGCGTTTCGACCCACTCCTGGGACTTAATCATGGACATCATGGACCTTTTACCTGATAACTACATGGCTGAATAGGTTTTAATATTAAAATCTTATTTTCCATCACATAGTGGACAAAAAGTCCACTATGAGTTTTTTTGAGACATGTTCCCTTTATTGAGACATCAGTGGTCTAAAACATAGCAGGAGTGTTTCCGGGGGGCAAATGTTCCGGGAGTACTTGGAAGCGA